AGCTCGTGCTGCTGGAGGACGGCGCGGCACAGGTAAGGCGCCACCGCACAGAACCGCTCCAGCCGCCATGGCCGCGGCCAGCGGGAATGAGCCGCTTCCCTGGGGAGCCGGCCGCGTCCTCCCGAGTTCCTGGGGAGAAGCTTGGGAGGCGAGGAAATAATAATAATAAAAAAATGCTTGGGCTCCCTCTGCCGAAGAAATTCTGGCATTTCAGTAGGTTAGAGGAAAAGGCATTTCCCTTATTACTGCCCATGTTATTGGTGCTTTCCTTGGCAGCCATAGCAGAGCCGGGGATGCTGTGTTGTTCTGCCCAGTGAGACCAGGCTGTCACAGCTTGGCTTCTGAGTGCTGTATAAACCTAATGCAGTCATAAACATGCAAAGAATTTGATAAAACATCATGGAAGTCCCCTATCTGTAGTAAAAAAGAAGTGGCACAGGATGACAGTTGAGTTCACCAAGCTTTTGGGTTATTGTATGTAAAGGGTAGTTGAGATCTGTTACTATTTTTATCGCTAAAGATCTTGAGGAATCCAGAAAAAGTCTGGGAAAACTGTCAGTGTATCGGGAGTCCCAGAGCCTGCTCTTTGCACAGTCAATGTACAATAAAACTTCCCCTGAGCAAGGCTGTGCATCCAGACATGGGCTTTGGGTGTCTCGGGAAATAGCCTGGCTTAGTGAGCTGAATTTGTGCATTCAAATTTGCCTAAAATCTTTAGGCCAAGAGAAGAGAAAAAAAAAAAGCGCATTGCTGCACTTTATAAGCCAGAGTGGTTAGAGTGGCAAGGCTGTTTCCATAAAGCTTTTTTCCCCACTGAAGTACTGAACTTTTTAATTTCAGAAAGCACATATGTACCATGCACATAAAAAAGAACAGTTCTGTTCAGTGACACAAGGAAAACACCAGTGGCTCCTCTTTATTGCTTTGGGCTTCGTGATCCTTCTTTGATATAGTATCTTTGAAGGCTGACACAGCTGGCTGCAGAGAGTAAATCACTCCTAGATTTCAGTTCATGCATGTTTACGATGTTTAATATAGGGAGCTCGCTCTCTCATTTTAGTAATATGAAGGACAAATATGCGTTAAGGAAGAGCATCACCCAAGCAAGATAGCACAGTACTCCATTATGAAAAAATAAATGGAAAGGTCTCAAAGTATCACAACGTTTAAAGCAGGCTGGAAACCCCTCCTTGCTCCTGCCACGTCCCGCGTACCGCAGGCTTCACCCACGCGCGTGGACGAGCAGAGCTCTTGACAGAAGCAGCATCCCGACTCATGAGCTGCCAGTTTGTCTCCTGGATCTACTGGAGACCAGTGTTTTTAGAGAAAGCCTAAGGCTATGCCTCCAAATGACAAATGTGGGCGTTCTGGATATTCACGATGATGTTTTCTTTGATCTGCTGTGAGGAGTCTCGGTTCTCATTTCGGTAGGACCAGAGGTGTGTGTGGAGGAGGCTCCCTGGCCAGGGTTTGCTGTGTTCAGTGGGTCAGTCACATCTAGGGGCTCACGGCGGTTTTCTGCCTTTCGCAGAAGATCAGCGAGCTCCAGCCATGCCGAGCGCGCTCAAGAGGAACAGTGTTAAGGCATGGTAGTGGGCGGAATAACGCCAGTCCGGGGAGCAATAACCAACCTTTGCCTGGAATGGGGCCGGTGCCGGGAGAGATCTGCAACTCCCGGGGGAAGCTGGGACATATTAATGGGAATCCTGGAGTTTATGGACCTGCCCTGCGGATGCACTGGCTGCCGGCGGGGTGTCCTGCTGTCGGCCTCCAGAGCTGGGGACGTGGTGGGGCTTCAATCCCTGTGGGACCAGGCGAGGTCCCAGGGACATAGGGAACACATGCTGAAGTCTCTTGAGCCAGTTCAGTAAGATTGTATGATAAAGGACACTTTTGTTTTTCTTTTTTTAATTCTGGGGCATATACGCCAATGCATGAGATGTTAATGTGTCTTGGCTCTCGTTTTCCAGCAGATCTCCTAGCATGGCTCTCCAGGCCTTGTCTCGAGATAGACGTCAGCCAACATGACACATTCACAAAGCCAGTGCATTTTGCGTGGTCCCCAGAAGAGTCCCAGGTCTATGCTGATGCACAGCAGCAGTGCTCCTAGGAAAGAAATGGGTGTCTTCATGATTAGTTAGAGGTCCCAAATAGCTGTGGTTGTCTGATGAGTGAAGAAGAGAAGCCGTCTGATTGCACGTTTGCCAAGCGTTTGTTCTGCAGGGTTTAAACCCAGTTCTCAAACACTGGCAGTCAGAAGAACGCCATGTTAATTCTGTGTTATTATACCTGAGCTCAGATGTGTGCCTGGGGTTTGTCCTACACGTTGCACACAGCGTGGGCTCGAGACCGTCTGAAACTCATGCTAATGTGGCGTCCTCTTTCCACCGCAGCTGTCCTACCCACCCGTGAAGCGTCGCACAGCGTGGCCTGGGCAGCTCCAGCCGGTTCCAGAGCCCAAACTTCAGGCTCCTCCGACTCCTCCGCGCCTCCCTGTGCTCCAGGCTCCGCAGGGCCCCAGCCCGCCCGGCGGCTGCGCCCCGGGCGCAGCGGGACACGTGCCCCATCCGCCGCTCAGGAAGCGTCCCGGGAGCGCCTGGACGAGGAGCGTGAGCTCCTTCTCTCCGGATTCTTGCAGTCAGTCCCCCGCGGAGCCGCAAGGTACTGCCGGGTGCTGGCCGAGATCCTTGGGGTGGCACTGAGGGAACTGCTGCTCCTACCCACACTGACCTTTTCCACCCACGCTTGCCCAGCAGGCCGTAGCCTCACGTCCTCTCAGGCCACTTCTGCATTGCACCATGGTGATCTGAGCAGAGACAGTTTTAATTTGCGCTGCCAAGTGACAAGCAGTACAGGCAGCTGGGCGTTATTCCTGGTCAAGTAAGGCTGGATAGGTTAAGAACGGCTGTGACAAACACTGAGCAGTGTCATTGCCTGGTTAGTCTGGGTGACGTTTCCTCTTCCTTTTTCCTTGTGCGTGACCTTGTGCAGTGATTACTGACTTTATCTTCACCAGTGACTCATGCGCCTATTGCAGGCTCTTGTTTGAACTGCTGTTTTTCTTCTTTTGATCTGCAATTATTGGCTGCTTTCAGCAAAAGGATTTAAAATTAGAGCTATATCTGATAGACTGTATCGTTTTTAGAAAGTAAAGTAAGCAATTGTGGCAGAGCAGATACAACTGTGCAAATACAACTGAAGAAGCAAACCTATTTATTAACCAAGAGTGACTTGGGTATATAAACCAACACATCAGCAAATTAGAGTGTTCTTTGCACTCGTAATACAGTACAAGGCACCTGTGGAATTGCACATTTGTAGAACAAGAATTCTGCTGTGAGATAACATGGTATACAGTAGGTTTCTTTCCTGCCCTTTTGTTTTTTTGCCAGCAGTGATAAACAGTATGAAGTCACTAGTAAACCACCAAAATACCCAGTGTTCCAGACCCGAAGGCGTTACAGCGCAGTCACCGCAGCGTAGCATGAAGAGCAGGACGTGTGCATGTGCATAACTTGAAATTCCACCACAGGCACCGGGAGCGAAGCACCTGCGTCACGCCAGTGCATACCCCAGAAGAACCCGCGTGTGCCAATCCTGCTTAATGCAGCCCTTCACATCCTGAAATTACAGCTGCCTTGTGCAGGGTAGGGCAGTGTTGCCAGTTCAGAGGAGCCTTCATCTGAGAGGCCTGTGTCTGCAGCTGAGGCTTTTTTAGAATCCAGAGGTGTTTTATTCTTCTGTATTGTATAGACCCTTTGCACTAGTGAGTGTCTTTTTAGTACAAAGCACTTGGTTATTCTTCTCTTTGTGGGTTGAGTTCTTAGCCTGCAAATCAGCATTTGCCTTGTTTTTAGGCAAGTGGGAGAGAGGCACCAAAGAAGAATTAATCCTAATTAACTCCTTCTCCTATTGATTTTTTTTTTCTAATTTTGCTTGTTTTCCTTCAGTCTTGACAAACGTATCAGGAAGTGGGCAGAGCGGTGTGGCAGGAGCTCCTTCACCCGGGATTCGTGACGTGGAGTTCCTTCTTCAGGAAAAGGTGATGCTGAGGAATGTGTGAGCGATGGGGAAGCAGAAATTGTCCTCGGGGGGATGTGCTGTGGCCGACTGCTCCACCTGGGAGGTAAAGGAAGCAGAAATACCGTGCCAAATGTTAGTCTGTCTGATCAGGAGTCACATCGGTGTGCGGTGACTCACTGCAATGAGGCTGCTCCCACGGACGAGAGCTACCTGCTGGACCGAGGAATCCAATGACTTAGCCCTGGTGAAATTCAGGGTGAGGAGGTAAAAGGTACAAAAGGTGGTAGCT